GCATAATTTCTTTTTTCTGTTTTTGGAGCGATTTTTGCTACAGGGCATGTGCACTCACCATAGGGATAGAGAGACAGAAAGTGAGAATTCATCCTCCGGGAGGGATGGCCATGCGCAATCCCTTCTCCATTCTCTTGGGATTTGGGGCACACACACACACACACACACACACCACACACACACACACACGTGCAGCTGGCATAATCAACTTGATATTTTAAAGCCCGAAAGCTTTCTTTTTCTCTTTGTAACTCTAGAGCGGAGTCAGAAGCAGTTGCCCGACTCCAGAGTTTCGTGGTCGTCATCCCACGGGAATGATCACATTCAAGTGCCAGGCGTCCTGCGGCCCTGTCTGAGCAAGCGCGTCCTGTCAGGTCAGCACCACTCACGCACACTGCGGACCCATGTGGTCAGCACCCCAGTTCCACCCACAGGCAGTTCACCCATGTGTTCAAGCCCAGCCGCATCATCTAACAAATCCCGAACTCTCTTCTGTGGGCACTTAGTTCCTGGGTCTAGTCATGGTACCAACGATTAGTCAGCAAAACAGAAACCACTCTAGGTGTTCCGGGTAGAGGTGGTTTAATACAGACACATTTATAAAATTGTTGGTCAAGCAGAGGGAGAAAGACGTCCCGGGGAGGGGTGTTTGACGCTGGTATTAGGAGCAGCGGGTGCCCCCGGCTGGAGCCCAGGAGCCTGTCCCTGCCACGAGGAGCAGGGCGGCACTTCTGCTGCAGCTGCCGACCCCTCACTGATGCCACCGAGGAGCCAGGGAGCCCCTGCTGCTCTGATTCCGGTCACCAGCGGCTGTCAGGGCAGCTGCCCAAGACCGCGAGATACGAGGAAAAGGGCTTCTCTCCTGCTCCTCCCTCTCCGGCCAGTGTTTCCAACGGCAGTGGCCGCCGGGGAGTCAGGGCTAGACGCCCGAGACGTAGTCTGTAGGTTTCAGCACCGACGTGACGAGGACACGGAGGATGGGCGTGCACCGTCTCACACGCAGCTATTACAAATGGGCTTCTTCAGAGAGAGGAAGGAAACGAGAAGATGATTCGGGATCTAGGAGACAGGGGAGGCAACGGGAAGGCTCGGGAACGTGGGGCAGGAGCACGGGGTGCCCGCAGCAGGAGGAGAGGCCCGCCGGCCTAGAGCGAGACCACGGGCAGCTCCAGGTGGGGTCTCATGGCAATACCAACGTGCGACGTGCCTGAATTGAGAGGAGATGCACTGTCCTGTCAGAGACTTTAGGGAAAATTATTGTAAATACACAGAAAGTAAAGCAGTAAAATCAAAGTTCTGGAAAAGCAAAATGTGAAAGAAATGAAATGCAGTCATAGCACAACCGTCAGCCCAGCCGTGAATCACACAGGGCCGCGATGTGAAAAACGAGTATTCGATGCAATACAGTAGAATGAAACGAGGTTTGAAGGGAAGAAAGAAGTTATACTGGGGACAGTAGAGAGGGCTAAAGTTTCATCTTTCACAACAAAGGCAGTAGATGATATAGCTGACCCTAGAACATTGTGGAGTTTGGGGTAGCACACCGCCACATACTTAAAAATCCATATAATGTTTCACTTCCCCCAAACCTAACTATACTGGTCACTGGAAACCTTACCACTAACATAAACAGTCATTTAACAAATACGTTGTAAGTTGTGTATTATGTATTGTATGTTTACAATACAGTAAAGTAGAGAAAATGTTATTAAGGATATCACAAAGAATAGGGACCAGTAGTTGGCGTAATGGCTATGTCGCTGGACTCCCATGTAGTCGGCCGTGGTTTGACTCCTGGACCCAGTGGTTTAAACTCACGCTGGATGTGTGTAACTGGATGCCACAGATTCCAAGAAGAGAATGGAGAAGAGATTGTGGCGTGGCCATCCCCCCTGGGGGTGATTTCTCACTTTCTGTCTCTCAGTCTCTCTCTGTCTTCTTGACGAGTACACCCTAAAGCAAAAAAAAAAAAACCTCTCCCAAAAAAAAAAAAAAATCACAGGAAACAGAAAATACATTTACAGTATTGATGGAAAAAACCTGTATGATAAGTGATTTACACAGTTGGAAGCCATGTTGTTCAAGGCCAGCTGTATTTAAAACGGAATAATCGAGAAATGTGAACGTAATGAGTTCATTGAGATGACACAGGTAAATATCAGGAGAAACACAGCTAAAATAGTTGGAACTTTTCTTGGAGGAGTTGGCATAGGTGGAATAGGGCATGGACATTTTATTTTTCATTCCATGCCTTGTATGTGTAGTTTTATTCATTTATTTGGCCACAGGGCATAAGCAATCATAGAGAGAGACAGAGAGAGAGACAGAGAGAGGGAAAGTGAAAAACTATCTGCTGGCGGGTGGCCATGTCGCAATCCCCTCTCCTCCATTCTCATGAGATTTGGGGCATGTATGCACATGCACCCATTGTGGTTTTCAAGTCACCAGTTCTAGGACTCGAACTATGGTCAGCCATGTGAGCATCCAGTGCCTTAACCACCATGCCACCTGCTGGCCCCTGGTATGTAGTTTTAAAAAATGTATTTGTGACAAGCAGATGACAAAGCAGTCACGTCGCTGGACTCCCACATGGCTGACCGTAGTTCAAGTGCCAGACCCAGTGGCTTAAACTCACGCTGGGTGTGTGTGTGTGCCCAAGATCCCAAGAGGAGAATGGAGAAGGGATTGCAGTGTTGCTCTTCCCCCACGGGGTGAGTTTTCGCTTCCCTCCTACTGTCTCTGTTTTTTTCTTTCTGGCAAGTGCAGATGCCCTACGGCAAAAACCTTATATATATGTTTGCAGGTGGCGGGTGGTTGGTGGCTAAGGCACTAGATTCCCACGTGGCCGACCTACGTGCAAGTCCTGGATCTGCCTACTTGCTTTGTCCCGCTCTCTTTTTGGTCAGATGAAAAACAAATAAATAAAGTTAAACAAATAATTCTAAAAAAATGTATTTGCTATATTACTTTGGTAAAATATCCATATACTTTTTTTAAATCCACAAATTTTGAGAAATTTTTATCAGGATGAAAAATGACCGTCTGTGCTTTACTAATGCCAACGACGGGTGGAAGTCTTTTCAAGATGTTTGCAGGAGGTAGCCCAGTTTTACTCATCTAATCTAAATATAGAGGCTTGATGATTACTTCTGTTCCTGATTCTTTCATTTGAGGGTCCCTTCAAGTCTAACTTAGATAATAATGAATGTATTTTAAAGTTTCTTTATTTACGATTCTAAAGTGTTTGTTTGAAGTTCTTAAAATACATTCTGGCAATGTAATATCACTGTGGGCATTTTATTATTATCATTTTTAATTTTAAGAAAATAGCTTTTCCTTCCCTCCTTCATTGTTTTTGGAGGTCTCTTTTGTGCTGTTTCTCTGGTCACTGTTCCTTAGGAATGTTGGTTTGATGTCGTCGTGGGGAAAGAAATCAAACAGAGAAATGCAAAAATGGGGGAGAAGTTCTAGTAACCCGATAGTGATTATTTTAGGAGTGCTGAGAACAGAGGGAGTGAGAAGGGCTCGGCAGGATTTGGTCTCCGGAACGGCTTTTCACACAGTAGAACGAGAGCTCAGGGGACTATGATCTCCGTAGAGCTGGTTCCAGGGTAAGGAAGACTGACATGGCCTTTCCGACAGTCAGAACACTCTCCGCGTTGGCCAGACCTCACTGAAAACAAATAATTCTAAAAAAATGTATTTGCTATATTACTTTGGTAAAATATCCATATACTTTTTTTAAATCCACAAATTTTGAGAAATTTTTATCAGGATGAAAAATGACCGTCTGTGCTTTACTAATGCCAACGATGGGTGGAAGTCTTTTCAAGATGTTTGCAGGAGGTAGCCCAGTTTTACTCATCTAATCTAAATATAGAGGCTTGATGATTACTTCTGTTCCTGATTCTTTCATTTGAGGGTCCCTTCAAGTCTAACTTAGATAATAATGAATGTATTTTAAAGTTTCTTTATTTACGATTCTAAAGTGTTTGTTTGAAGTTCTTAAAATACATTCTGGCAATGTAATATCACTGTGGGCATTTTATTATTATCATTTTTAATTTTAAGAAAATAGCTTTTCCTTCCCTCCTTCATTGTTTTTGGAGGTCTCTTTTGTGCTGTTTCTCTGGTCACTGTTCCTTAGGAATGTTGGTTTGATGTCGTCGTGGGGAAAGAAATCAAACAGAGAAATGCAAAAATGGGGGAGAAGTTCTAGTAACCCGATAGTGATTATTTTAGGAGTGCTGAGAACAGAGGGAGTGAGAAGGGCTCGGCAGGATTTGGTCTCCGGAACGGCTTTTCACACAGTAGAACGAGAGCTCAGGGGACTATGATCTCCGTAGAGCTGGTTCCAGGGTAAGGAAGACTGACATGGCCTTTCCGACAGTCAGAACACTCTCCGCGTTGGCCAGACCTCACTGAAGCAAGGCCACTGCAGAGCAATGGTCTCTTCTTAGTTTAGTGGAGCATCTAGTTTCTTGACTTGGAGGTAAATCATCTTTTCTTTATTTTTTCTTGGTCTGCAATGAGAAATAAAAGTAGAGAAGAGAGAAATGAAGTGGTTGAAAAATCAATAGAGTGGTTAGTAAATAGACGGAATAAAAAATCGGGTATAAGCTTTGTCCAGGATTAGTCTTGTGATGTGTTCTTATTGCGATTTCATAAGGAACACGAATAGAGCTTAGTGAATAGCTAATGTGGAAGGAAGGCTCCGGAAACTCTTTTAGGAGTGTCAGTCAGAATAGCAGTGACAGCGACGACAACAGTAATGGGCCCAGAGAATTTCCTTCCTTACGGTGATCTGGTCTTTTCTAGAGCAGAGAGGTAAAGCTGAAATTTAATCAATTTTATACATGTTAAAGATGATAGAAAAATCTAGACACTGTTATTTTTAGGTATGTAAATAAATTGGAGAAATTATTTTGATCAGAGTTTATTTAATTTTGAACAGTTTGATAAATGACAAATGCAATAAAAATATTTGTTCAAATTGTACATTTTCTCAGTCATCTCGTGTCTATGAATACCAGAATGTTACTGATACCCATTGTAGAAATGCTGTTCTCTTCATTTGGTTGTTTCCAGCAACATCCTTTGTCCATGCTCCTGTTTATAGTTTGAAGCAAATGTGGGCTGCACCTGGTTCTCCAGCTTCTCACAGAATGTCCCTTATGTGGAGGTGGTTAGTCTTGCCTCAGTTTCTAGATCAGCTTGGCCTGAGAGGGGGCATAGCAGAAGCTTACCCAAATCACCTTGAGGTATTGGAGTCCTCTCAGACTGCACAAGGAGGGTCTCAGTCAAGTCTATTGAGATCCTATAGCCTCTATGTCAACAACAACAAAAACAACAGCAGTAGCAATAACAGTCGCAACAATCACAACAGCAATAGGGACAGCAGCATCAGCAACAGTAACAGTGGCAAAAATAGCAACAGCAACAGTAGCAGCAGCAATAATAGCAATAGCAGCAACAACAGCAACAGCATCACCAGCAACCGCAATAGCAGCAAAAACAGCAATGGTAACAGCAACAATAATAGCAACGACAGCATCTCCAGCAATAGCAATAATGACAGCAGCAGCAACAGCAATGGAAACAGTAATGAGAACAAAAGCAACAGTAACAATAGCAGAAACAACTGCAGCAGCAGCAACAACAGTAACAGCAATGGCAATAGTAATAATAGCAATAGCAACAGTAACAATAGCAGCAGCAACAAAAATAGCAATAACAATAGCACCAGCAACAGCAACAACCACAGTATCACTAGCACCAGTAGCAACAACAGCAACTGTAGTTACAACAATAGCAATTGTAGCAATAGCTGCATCACCAGTAACAATAGCAATAATAAGAACTGCATCATCAGCAGTAGCAACAACTGCATCATCAACAACAGCAACAATGATAACAATAGCAACAACAACAGCATCACCATCAACAGCAGCATCACCAGTAACAATAGCAGCAACAACTGCATCACCAGCACTAGTAGCAACAACAGCAACAGCAGCAAATGCAACAAGATCAGTAGCAATAGCAACAGCAATTACAACAATAGCAACAGCAACAACAGAGACAATGGCAATAACAGCAGCAATGATAACAATAGCAACAACAACATCAGCACCAACAGCAGCACCACTAGTAACAAAAATAGCAACAACAATAGCAGCAACACCAATGGCATTAAAAACAACAGCAACAATAGCAATAGCCACAGTAACAATAGCAACAGTGACAACAAGAGCAACAGAAATAGCAACAATCACAGCATCACTGGCAACAACAATATCAGAAGCAATACAAACAACAATAACATTAGCAACAACAACAGTGGCAGCAACAAAAGCAATGACAACAATAATAATAGCAGCAGCAACAACAACAATGGCAACAATAACAGCATCACCAGCAACAAAAACTGCATCAGCAACACCAGCAGTATCACCAGTAATAACATCAGCAAAAGCAAAAGCAACAGTAACAACAGTGACAGCAGCAATAGTAACAGTAACAATAGCAGCAGTAACAATAGCAATAGAAACAACTGCATCACCAGCAGTAGCAACAACTGCATCAGCAGCAACAGTAACAACAGCAGCAGCAATGAAGGCAACAGTAGCAGCAACAGCAGTAACAATTACAGCAACAATAGCAATAGGAACAATAGTGGCAGCAGCAGCAATAACAATAGCAACAACAGTAGCAATAAGAACAATAGCAACAATAACAATAGCAACAATAGTTACACTAGCATCACCGGCAACAACAACAGCAATAGCAACAATAGCAGCAGCAACAACAATAACAATAGTAACAATGACTGCATCACCAGCAGCAGCAACAGCAACAATAGCAGCAATGAAGGCAACACTAACAACAATAGCAGTAATAATAATAGCAACAACAGCAATAGTAACAATAGCAATAGCAACACCAACATCAACATCGATAACAATAGCAACAACAACTGCATCAGCAGCAATAGCAACAACTGCATCAGCAGCAACAACAGCAACAACAACAGCAGCAATGAAGGCAACAGTAACAACAGCAGTAACAATGACAGCAATAACAGCAATAGCAATAGTAACAACAGCAATAGCAACACCAGCATCAGCATCAATAACGATAGCAACAGCGTCACCAGCAAGAACAGTAGCAACTGAAGGACCAGTGCAGAACCAGACAAGGGCACAACACAACAAGAGCAATAGCAACAGTAACAACAGCAGCAGCAGCAACAACACCAGCTACAACAATAGTATCACTAGCAATAATAGCAATAACAGCAGTAACAACAGTGACAACAGAAATAGCAATAGTAACAAGAGCAGTAGCAAAAAAATAGCATCACTAGCAACAGCAGCAACAGTAGCAGCAGCAACTATAACAACAGCAGAAGCAGCAACAAAAGCAATAGCAACAGTAACAATGGCAATAGCAATAATACAATAGTAGCAGCAACAATAGTAGCAATAGCAATAACAACAACAGTAGCAGCAATAGCAGCAGCAATGAAGGCAACAACAATAACAGCAATAGCAATAGCAACAGTAACAACAGCAGCAACAGCAATACCAGCAACAACAATAGCTACAACAGCATCACCAGCAACAACAGCAATAACAACAGTAACAACAGCAATAGCAACAGTAACAGTAGCAGCAGTAACAACAACAACAGTAGCAACAACAGTGGCAGCATTGAAGGCAATAGCAATAACAACAGTAGTAACATCAACAGTGATAATAACAATTACAATAGCAGGAGCAACAACAGCAGCAGTAATGAAGGTCACAACTGTAACAACAGCAATAATAATAACAGCAACAACAGCAACACCAACACCAGCAACAACAATAGCTACAACAGCATCATCAGCAACAGTAGCAATAGTAACAACAGCAGCAGCAGCAATGAAGGCAATAGGAATAACAGTAACAGCAACAATAGCAATAGCAACAGTAACAGTAGCAGCAGCAACAACAGGAGCTGCATTGAAGGCAATAACAATAACAGCAGCAGTAGCAACAACAGAGACAACAGAAACAGTAACAATAGCAGCAGCAACAGCAGCAGTAGCAAGGAAGGCAACGGCAATAACAACAGCAGTAGCAACAACAGCATTAGCAATAGTAACAATAGAAGCAGCAACAACAGTTGTGGCAACAGTAACAACAATCACAGCAACAACAGTAGTAGCTGTATCAACAGCATCAGCAGCAACAATAGCAGTGACAATAATGGCAACAGCAACAATAGTAACAATAGTGACAGCAACAACAGCAGTAACAATGGCAGCAACAGCAGCAGTAGCAGCAACAGCAGCAGCAATCACATCAGCAGCAATCACAACAGCAGCCACAACAGCAAAAACAGCAGGAACAATTGCAAAGAAACCCCCTAGCAACCATAGCAACATGAATAGCAACAGCACCAGCTGCAATAGCAGCAATAACATTAGCAGCAACAACAGTGATAGCATTAGTGACAGCAATAACAACAAAGGCAAAAACAATACAACAGACAGCAAAAGAGTAGCATCAATACCAGGAATAGCAGTAGCAACAATGATTGTAACAACAACAAAAACAGCAATAGCAGTAGTAACAATAACAGTAGTACAACAATAGGAATATAAAGAACAATGGCATCAGCAAAAAATGACAGCAAAAATAACAGCAGCAACTACAACAGCAACAGTAGCAGCTGCAACAATAAAATGTGGCAGGAAGAG